CCCTCTCACCCAAGGCCGGGGCAGTGTTATCAACTGCGCGCGCCGCCCACCGGAGCCCGAAGCTCCAACTCCCCGGATGACAGACATAGAAGAAGCGCTCCTTCCACCCCTTGTTACTGGAAGGAGCCCCGCTGACCCGGAAGCCCGGTCGGGCGGACAGGTAATAACCCCCCGACCCCCTAGACAGGCGAAAGCAGGAAAGAAAAAGGGATCGGCTTGGGGTGATTCGGGCGTAGTAGCATTCCCCGAGGAACGCCACCAGGTAGCGCCAAGAATTCGGCGCCATCTGAGAAGGAGAAATGCGCCACCACGCGACACAGGAGGTTATGACTGGGTGGAACGACAGGCGTAGTTCGGCTTCAAAGGCGTCTACGGTCAGGGCGAAGCCCCTAGGAATGGGATCGTACGCCCGCTGCCCCGGCTCTGGGGCAAGGAGCGTGAACTCCGTCGGGATACCATAACGATCCCGAAGGAGGCCCAGCGTCGACTCGCTCACAGTAGAATCGAGGTCATGTGGCCACATTAGCGATTCAAGAGAGCTCGTCGTCGCCACGTCCTCGCCGGCGGCACCGGGGAGAGGAGGCGAAAAAGGAGGGGACAAAGGAGGGGAAACCATCCTTACCGAGCTTTTGGGAAGGAGGGGCGGCTGAAGAGCGCAAGGCTAAGTCGGCCAAAGAGAGGGATGAAGCAAATGCAGGTACCAAGAAGAGGAAGAGACCGACAAAACGCTACTTATAGCCTGTTTCCCGCCGAAATGGCGACCCTTCCTCTCCCAAGATGCGCGGCGAAGACGCGAGAGTCGCATCGCCATAACTTCGGCGGACACGGCTCTTGATCGAAGCGCGGTGCGAAATACGGAGCCCCCAATCACATCAACCTCGAAAACCAGCGACGCCCAAAAAGGCGTGGCCCTTTGGTCTTCCCCGGGCAAATGACGGCCCGGCTGCCCGCGCCCACACAAACGGTCCAAACGACTAAACACTGATCAGAAGCCAAGCATTGCCTCGCCTTTACGCCATCCCGAGCCACACCTGTGCGGTCACCCCGCCTGCGTCGTGCTCCTCGGCCCTCAGCTTTACGCCATCCCGAGCCACACCTGTGCGGTCACCCCGCCTGCGTCGTGCTCCTCGGCCCTCGGCTTTACGCCATCCCGAGCC